CTTTTGTCCTAATTTGGTTGGGGGGGGGGGGGGGTTGTTTGTTGGCTTTGAAGAACTTTTTTGGTTTTTAATGAAGGCAGTGGCAAGAGAGGGAAAAGGCTGAAAATCAGACTTGGACCATAACGACCAAAGATTCTATGTCTTCGTATTAAAACAAGCAGGTAGAAACTACTTCCTAAAGAAACTCTCTTCAGAAGTTTCAGAACAACTGCAAAGTACTGGTTGATTGTCGTTGCCCTTAGTAGAAGTTGCTTGACAAAAACCAGTTCTGCCTTGTTTACAACAGAATTTCTTGATAAAGTATTCCAGAAATGTAGTACATGCAAATCTTACCACAGTCACTAATTATTATTTCCTTGAAAATAAGAAGCCTTTGCTTTCTAATGGCCAGTTTATTTGCCGAATATTGCCAGCCTTAGATATGATGAATTATTACTTAAGGTAAATCTAAATGCACATACATAACAATAAGAATTCTTCTGAGAACTGGGAAGTAGGAAAAAAAAAAATCAAATCAATGTTGTCTTTAATTTAAGTAGCTGGAGTGTCTCCTCCTACCTTCCCTGAGCTTTGGAATATTAAAAAATAAAGGAAGCACTGCAATGTGAAATACAGCAATTATAAAGGGGAAAAGGCAATGGAGAAATCCAAGACACCCAGCACTGCAGAAAACTAACTAGAATTTATATGGGATGCTACCATCTTGACAACATGCTGATGAGAAAATACAGTAACACAGTTCTTATTTAAAAACACAAAACCCTGGTGGGTTGCAACACAGCAGTCAAGGCAGTTCATCAAGCTACATGCCTAAAAACCTGCACAGATGGAATGCTGAAATGGATGTTTTAATTGGTGTTTTTCACATTGACTACTGTGTTTCCTAACTGCCTTCCCCCGGCAGTCACTTCAGAAAGGTTTACTAGCAGCAGATACTTGCTTATGCTGTTCTCTTTTGTTTAACACAAGACATAGAAAACACAGAAGTTCCAGCATGTACTGCTGATGTGGGGTAGCAAGCGATGACCCACTTCAGGAGTGGAAGAGCCTTTATTTCTAGCTCTTGCAGGACTTTTCAGAACTCTGGTGTTCAGAGGTGCACACTGGAAATCAAGATCTATCTGCCTGTATAGTCATTCAGTTCTCTACCCCTTTCTCTTTCCAGCCTCTGAAGCCATTGACAAATCATGTCCTGGTTTTTCTCATTTGTGAGCTACCACACTTGGCTGCCCCATTCTGGCCTCATTCGCACCACATCCCCAGGACTGATGGCAGCAGGGACAATCAGTAAGAGTTAAGCCCGGAGGGCTTTTCCTTTTCAGATCAAAGCACTTCACACAAACTGTTTCAGCAAAGAGGAAAGAACAGACTTTGGAGTGTATGGAAATTGGCAGCAACTTTTTATTAGCCTGAAGGTAAAGCAACTGCATTGTATTGGGATTATTTTTCTTTTAAGAAAGGAACATTTTAGCTTATATAGTAAATTTGCTGTCAAAGTTTTGTTAAAAATGTAAGGACTGTTCTAAAGCATGCTAATGGCCTGCATTTATTAGGATTCTTCCTGCTACCACAGATAAAAAGTCACTGTTCAACAATGCCTTGCTGAAAGGCTTTCAGCAACAGGAGTAGGAAGTATATGTTTTGGTTTAAAACACTAAAGAAAAGAAACCATTTACTTGCTTTTTTAAAGGCTCCTTGGATGGTCAGTGCTCAGGAGAGAAGCAGGGGAGTCAAACAATTACCACAAAAAAGCCTAGCACAGTGTGGGGTGAACTTAGGTGGCCTACAAATATCCCTTGCAATCATTTGAGAGTTCCCAGTTCTGCGATAAAATTACTCCCTAGTTGACCCATCCATATTTTGCTGGGCACACATACATGCTTCAGTCCAAGTTCAGCAAATAAACACAAGCAAGCAACATCAGGTTGGACCCTTAGAGATGAATAGCTCAAATACCAGGGAAAGGAGTGTTGTCTTGCTCTGTAGCAGCAGTATTCACTTTTTAATGATTTGCGTGTGTCTGACCATTTTCCAGTCAAGGTGCAGGAACTCTGCAATGGATTTAGACCTTCCAGCAAGTTTCCTTTCTCTGAGCACTTTTCACAGACCGCTTCTAAGCGGTCCACAGACATGCAGGGGCTCACAGCGTTAGCTGAGGAACTGTGTGCACAGAAAAGGAAACATGAAATGGAATCAGAAAGGAAAGACTGCAGGAAAAAGAACAAACAGGCATGAATTATCTGTCAGATACCACATCCCATGTCACTCCCTGACACCATTATCAGTCATGAGTTCAAGTGCTGGAAGAAAGTCTGGGTTTCCACAGCGGGCAGGGTGGGGATCACAGGAGCACCCCACAGCCAGTAAAGATCACTGCTGAGATATATCCTGCACTGCAAAGGTGGCTGGGGAAAAAAATACCCCTTGGGGGTGGGAAATGACATGGCAGTCTCTTATCTGTTGGAAGTGTAACAATACCAGCATTCATGCTAAAATCCCATGTAGGATCTGTGATCAACCCAGTGACAGCAGTTACCTGTCCTGTCCTCAGAGAATTTTCCTCCTCTGTGACTAGCACATGGACTCATAACACACAACATCAAAGCTAACGAAGAGAAGGCAGGGCAGGGCAGAAACCTCTGTGGTGAGCAGGAGTGTCACAGGGAACAGGCCCTGCAGGATAGGCATGCTACAGGCTCCAGCATCCCTCCCATCCTCAGGTAAGAGCAACAGAGCAATTCTTGGGACCAGCCCTCAAATTCTCAGAGGACATGGCTAAAATAACGATTTGATGACACAAGAGTCCTGCCTTTAGCTCATACTGCCATCTCAAAAACAGGGTCACCTCGTGACATGCAGAAATGATCCATCACAAACTTGGGCTGCAGATTCCAACTTGTTCACAAATGCTGCAAGCTTCACTCTGTGTAAAGAAACAATTTTCACCAACAGCTAGCAAAGAAACCCACTAGTCAGAGTGTTTTCCTCTGTCCTGTCTAGTTCACAAGGAGTGCAAGCACCGTCCTGTTTCTGGCAAGGTAGTACTACTAAACTTGTACACAACCAAACTCCTCACCTGGACAACCACAAAGCTACACCCTGGGGCTGGGGTTTCCTTAATTGCTTCCCCAACTGCTTTCCCTAGAGCCACCTCTTAAATTAGATGAATACAAAAACCACAAAATTTTAACAACCACCATCATACAGCAGGTACCTCAATCTCCCACCTCACCACTCCCACCCATATCATCAAGTATGTCAGATGGCAATTTCTCACCCTTTCTTGAGGGCCAAGAAAAATATGCATTACCAATGTACTGTACCAGAGTCAAAAGGTTTTCATCTTACACATGCAACTGTCCTTCACAAGGCTGAAATTACAGGGTTTCTTAATCCTAGATTCTCATCAGCATGGGATGTAGGTTAACTACCAGGAAATCTGTTGAGCTCCATTACTGACATTCAACATCTTCTGTTGGAGGAGAGGCTACAAACTGTCAGCAGACCAAGCTCCTGGCCTCACATCTGCATTTCAGCTCCAAGTTTAAGACTTTTACCACACTCCTAGCCTAAATATAGAAAAGCATTTGCTCCATTTATTGACATCCCATATGTATGCATATCCAATGATGTTCTGCAGAAATAATTGCTTCTAATTCAGCATAGCTAAGGACATTCACCACCTTCTTAGAGTAAGGGGGACACCATATGTATGAGAACATGATCATTAACAGTACAAATCAGGACTATCCAAGCTAACTTCTGGGAAACAGCAAGGACTCCATATAGCACAAGAGCCTTCAGGCACTCAGATGGACCTCACACTAGGCTAGATCTTTGTCACGAGAGCCGGTAAGCCACTCCACCAGGCCAGCCTGGTGGTTCAGGCAGTCTCTTGAAAGACAGAAAGTCAGCTCAAAAGCATCTGCTCCAATTATGTAAAGTTAGGTCTGTTTATCTCAGCACTCTCTAATAAAAGGTTATTGCACCTGAGGGGGTAGAACTGCTCACCCACACATACCCCCTTCTTCTTTGTCCAAGACCTAGTGTAATCCAAGAGCACTCAATTGATTCAGTGATATCTGAACAAGATGCTTCAGATCCCTGATAGGTGGATATTGAACAGAGGGGGGTGAATTGCTACACGAGATCACAGTCTTTGTGGCTATGACACTGCATTCTTACATTACACAACTATACACATAGTAGAAACTACTTCACATTTTATTCTTGTCAAGGCAGCTCCTGCCAGAATTAGGACTTTAAGGACCAGAACTGACAATACCACTCCTGACACTTCACAATTTTCATCCAAAGAGAGCTTTGCTGAGGCAGGTTCTTTACTTAGAATGAATTACCAAAATCATACCCTGGAGCTGAAGGCTTTGTACTAATGCACTCAACACTCTAATCTTAAGGGGGCGCTTCCAAACAGAAGGAATATGAGAATTCATGCAACATCCTACAGCATGAGAAAGACTCGTGGCCTCTGAGACACACAATAAGGACAAGACTGCAATTTTGAGAGGACATAAACAGCAAGTTCCGCTACACTGCTGAACACTGATATTCTCAAAACGAGTTACACCTCAACAATGGCTTCTAGAGTACCTAAAATTTGAGTACAGAATGTTTAAGTGTCCAGATACTCAACAGAGGACAGCTGTAAAGAGACCTAGAGAACTACTCATGGTTCATAGGTTAATTCTGAGTACTTTTAATGGATTGTACAGATTCCTAGACCTGGTTTTATGAAGTATGTTCTATTCCATATAAACATGATGCTACCTGGAAGATGAATGCATATCTTCTGCTCTGTGATGAAGCAACAAGTGATCCAATAAGGCTCCTACTAATAAAAAGATGTATTTCCTGGGTAATTGCAACATGAAAAAAAGCAGAATGCAGTCCAAGTTTTGCTCACAGGTCTCTCAATTTTCACAGACACACTAGGATCATATTGCAATAGAAGGATGTTCCAGTAACACAAAATTGACACATTTTACTTTCTGGGATATAAAAATCTATTTTCACACTTCCTCCTATAGAAATATGCCATAAGTGAAAAGCGATTAAATAGAAGCTAGACAGAATCCCTATCATATAAAAGGAAGGTAAAGGGTAAAAACAGAGATGATGATGTCTCAGCTAAAACCTTTCTTATACAGCAAGAATTTTCCCTACATTCCCTTTCCCATAGCCAAGTACACCAAGTTAGTTACATTAACTAACAGGCCTTTTAAATAGCTTAAAAGAAAAAGCAAACAAAAAATAAAAAATCACATCAACTTTAATCGCCATAATTCCACCCTGAAGAAGAAAGCCTAAACACAGTAGGCAAAAAGAAAATCCCGTTTCAAGGAAAATACTATCTCAAGGATTTATATATCATGCATTAGAGATTCCTAGAACTGAAGCGCTAACACCTGCATGCTGCTAGAAGCTTAGGCATATCTTAAATGCATTATCTGCTGCAAGCAGGATATTGGCCTATCACACTAACTGAAAACCCAAATCCGAGTAAAAGGTTAAAGCAGTCTTCTTCCATAATTCATCTTACATTTAAAAACAGTCCGCAATCGGATCAGTTCCTTTCAGCATGGCAAAAGTTGTAAGCCAACAGAGTATCACAGTGATGATTCTTCAGTCTTCATCTTTTTTGTTTGTCCATTTGCATCATGCTGCAAATCCTGCCTTTTCTTTTTCTTCTGCTGTAACTTTTCCTCTTTCTTTTGTAGGTAAGTGTCCACATCCTCAAATGAAGCCTTGTAGAGATTGCTGTAGTAGCTCTCTGCACCAATAAAACCTACAATCGGGCAAAGCAAGAACACAAGACAAGTGTTGATTCCCTTAATGGTCTCATCAGCCACTTCCTGTACTGCAATTCTGGATAGCGGCATTTCAACTCATTTACTGTGATCCTATCCAGTTCCTTAAATACCAGCATTTACACTGTGTAAGCCTGGTTTGTGTTGGTAAGCTTCTGTTTAGCATCCACACAGTTAAGCATAACCTTCACTTTTTGGCTAAAAAATCCATGCACAGGCAAGCACCTGACATTGAGGCAATGAGTGCACACAGCTCTCTTTACACGTAGGAGATCTGCAGACTTCAAGACTTCTGTTTTTAAAACAACTGCTGTTGCATCTTATTGTTAAGACATCCCACTGAGTTGTTCCCCAAGATCTATGCACTGCAAAGGTGTATGCTACCTAACTGTGCTTCTCTCCTAGACTTCTCTCCATGAATATTAACTTAAAAGAAACCCAAGCGTAGAATTCAAATAGTGATGTCCTACAGCACATATGCATTTTCTAAGCATTCACTCCCAGTTTTGTTACACCTTCCATGAATTCAGCATAATATCCATCATACCATCTCCAACACTGTAAGTTTAGACAAGTTTAACAGGGAGCTAACTGCTATTTAAATAGCCCAATCAGATTGTTTCTGCAGAGAACAGAGAACTGGACTAGCTGGCTATGTCCAAATTTCCAAATGGTATCTGACAAAGTCAGCGACCTCTAGGTCTCTCTGTATTCCTATGTTTTCCCACTTCCCAAAGTTCTTGATCTTAAAGGATAAACGGAAAGAAATCCAGTATTTGCCAGGGTTCAGTCCTGAAGCTGGTGTGCTACTCCACAGTAATGTATGCGCAGCATCCCCCGTTTCTGGGTAGACAAACAAAGTAACTTTCGCTTGCTGGAGCACAGCAAAGGGCAGCTTTTACTTTTGAGGGTCTTATGTAACCAATTTCGTTGTTGGCTTTTGGCCCTGGAATAAATTGTGCACTGTCAGTTTGAACATCCATGCCACTCTCTCTTTGACTAGTCTGCACTAAATCTTGCTCTGTCTTTTTCTGACATCAGTTATTAGAGAATGTCAAACTGTTCAACAAATACTTCAAGACCAACCTATGTATCGTAAGTCCTACAGAATCAGCAATCAGGTGAACCAAGTTTATAAAAGAACTACATGCAGGCATTAAGACTGGGTTAAACAATAGAATGATCCCGTTTTTCAAAACGAGTAGCTACCTTTTCAAGCACTAATTATGCAGTGGAATAAGTGCTCATCAAATGAGCCTCCCCTTACTAATTAACAATAACAGACACTGTCATCTGAGCAGTAGTCCCCCTTTCCCAGCTGCAGATGTAGCCAGTTACCAGGTTTCACAGCAATCTGCTACACGGTTTCATTGCATTCAGAATCTTTTCCCCCCTGCCTGCCCTTTTTACTTCTTTGTTGTAAGTATGAGGTCTCATTTTCACTCAAGACCTTATACTTCTAATTATCTGCCTGGCTGTAACTACCACGACTCAGACATCTACATGTAAACAGTCTCCCTTCCAAAGCAATACCTGATTTCCTCTTAGATTTCAAAGACTATACCAACTTAACGACAGCTTACTGACAGCTACCCCCTAAACCATCCAGTACTGAATATTAAGGAGAATTTACATTAGACTGCAAATTCCTGCAACTCTTCTATCTTTACATATGACCAGAAAGAAAAGACCACAGGACCAATGGAGACTAACACCTTTTTTAAGGAAGGTTCCTAGTCTCCTAGCAAAGTACAGGAAAGAAATTTCAATTAATCAACTCTCAAAATATAATGAAACATCCACTAACACATGCTGCAACCTTTCTCTACCCTGTAGCCACCACTGCCATAATTTCAGGTTCTAAATAAAGTTAGGTGCTGTTTTGTTTTTTTTTTTTTAGTACAAAAACCCCTAGAACCATAGGCTGCTTCTGAACTAGTATTTTTCTGCCAGAGACTGAGGGTGGGGCAGAAATCAAGAACAAAATGAATGAACCCTGATACCAAGCAATTTCATCTGTGATACCATCCAGGGTAACACCCTCCAGCTACAGCAAGTTCCACATAATCTACCTTGCCAAGTTGGACCCAAATGGCCCATCTTTACAGGAAAGCTGCTCCTCCCATGGCTATTCCATTCTTACTATCTCCCCTGTACTCCTGATAAAGTGTCTTGCCAGGTAAGGACAAGATGACAAACAACAATATTTGATATTACAGCAGTTAGACAGACTCCAGCTGCTCTGTCATAGGGTGTTTACATACATCCCTGTGATAAGTTCTCTTTGCAAAACAGTTATAATGCTACAATTCAGATCTAAATACCTACATGGTCTTTGATAACAGTAATCTGAACACACTTCATGATCTGCACTAACCTCCATACCAGACAGAGCTTGAAACTGAGAAAACTGAAAGACTGACTTCAACAGCTACCTGAACTGACCTGAACTCTCATCTTGCTCCTAAATTTTATGCTTTAGCTGTAAAAATTGCATTTCCTGGGCCTTTCAGCCAAATTTCTCACCTTCAAACACTGCCCAGTTGTCTTTAAGATATTTTGTCATCTTCTGTAATCCCTTGTCATCAGTTACAGCCTAGGAAAAGAAGGGACACTGTTTATTATTCCCAAAATATCATGCAATCTCATGTTTCATAACACACTGAAAATGCAGCTCTCAGAGGAGTACAGTGAAAAGGAAAGTGAGCGTAAATCCTCCAAGATCTCTTTTGGGCTCCTTTTTTCCAGGACTGCAATAGAAAGTCACAGTCTGAGAACATGTGTTCTGCTGAGGAAGCTTTCCAGCTTGAAGGAGAAGAAAATGGATTCCCACTTACTACTACCCTGTGAGGAAAAAGAATACCACAAGGAACACATAATGGTCAAAAAAACATACTTAGAAGGTTCATTTGAAACCACTTCACAACTATGCCATAATTAGCTAGGGACTTACAAAGCTAAAAAACGAGCTTCCAGTTGTTGAATAGGCTATTACAGAGAACTTGACAGCACATCCCTCAATTCTGACTCTCTGTTCTCAGCGAAAAAAGAATCCCCTTAATGGTCCCAGAATGCCTTGTCCCCAAAGGAAGGCATAGAGAATGCTGTGTGAAAAGCATTCCTAAGCAAACCACAATGGGATTTTGTGTTTTTGTGGGGTTTTCTTTAAATACTCAGGTGTAGCACACAGAAAGCACAAGTAATGGCTGAAAGCGCAGAATACAGTGGCTGACAATGGCTCTAACTTGATCCTGCTACACCAGATGTCAGCTTTACCAGAGAAGAGACTAGTATTTGTAACAAGCCCTCAGCAGCTTTGCATTATATGCAGAAGAGAAGTAGAATGAGATGCGTATCTATGGCTTTTACTCCATCTCAAGACATAGAGAAGTGTGCCACTTAGCTGTCACAGAACATAGTTTATTCCATTTTTGTTATGGCCTCAAGACAACACAAAACATTCAGGATGTTAGCATAAAAAAGGTATCCACCTTCCACTGTCCATCACATGGTCTGTACAATTGTAGAGGAGCTTCACTGTCTTCCTGCAACATCCATAGCTCTCCTGTTTCCTCAAACGCAATGTCCCAACCTTTATGCTTCAAAGAGATTTGCTGCTTGTAAACTAGCTGCTTGGCAACGGCATCAAGCTGAAAGACGTAGACTGTGGGAATACTTTTGAAAGGAAAAACTTAATTACCATTATTACCGAATCCACCTACAGCCATTACTCGTTCAGCAAACTACAAACACCCACTCTAATTCCAAACAGAGCTGAAGCAAGGCCATTAGGAATTGCAAAAAATACCCAAGCATTTCAAGTGCAGTTTGCTTACATATTTTAAGCAGAAGCTGTAAATACCTAACAGGTCAAATGTATTTTCAAGTGTTATATGAATGAAAAAGCAGTCAACTCTGTCTTTTCTTGAAAAAAAAAAAAAAGTAGTAAAGAGAATTTCATATGGTTTACTAAAGATTTATATAAGGAGTGCTGCATCATGGGCACAGCAGCCTACAGAGGAGGCCTACTTGAAGGAATATGTAGCTGAGCACTAGCCATAACAAAGGAAAAGTAAAGGAACTGCGTGCCTGGGAAGGGAGGAGAGAATGAGAACGACAGGAAACCTTGACATGGCTGAAGAACAGCCATGCACTTATCTCTACCTCTCCCCATAGCACTCATTCCTCTAGCAGGCACAGCCCCTATGTACAGTTTCTTGTCTCCCTCAGACAGGTCCCCAGTGTGCCAAGGCAGAACAGCTCAGCCCTCTCCTATGCGTTTTACCAGATCCATATGACAGCACTGTTTAGAAATGCTGGGCCATGAAGCTGGAAATAAAAGCCTGACGCAGAGCATGGCGGGGCCCCTGGGCTAAGTGACATTGGCACAGGCCTCAGCTGACATGGCTTCCCCTTCCAAGGCCAGTTTGTATGCCCATGCAGAAGGGAAGCAACTTAAGCTCCTTGATCTAGCAAAGAGCAAATCCACTGAGGGGTCAGCTTGCCAATTTCATTGTACAGGCAGCTCTGGCAATTGCTCCCTTTCTTTTTGGCAAGCTTTGTCAGGAAGAACAGCTTCCTTGACAGGCTTAAGATGCTGTGGAGAGGGAAAAAGGGCTTGTCCATCCCTGCAAGACATTTCCCTGCCAGCTTAAACCCTTCAGCTGCTGAGCACTCTCTCCTTACATAACACATACATTTGAACCCACAAGTCAGTGTAGGCCCCCCCCCCCCCAATTTTAAACTGAAGCAATGTTGAGGTTTTAAACAGAATGGCCAATCCCATTTACAGGAGCAGAATATAGTAGCAGAATTTTGGCCACTCCATCACCACAGCACCCTGAACAAAACAGGACACAAAACACATGGGTTAAGCACAGCAATTAAGGGAGACATCCTGAGCACAAACCAGGGCTCACATGCATCCTAGCCTTGCATTTCCTCCTGTGAAGGAATGGCATCACAAAGTCTGCAAAATTCAACTAAGCTGGGTAACCCTTGCACTCACCTCTGAACTCAGACCAAGTACAATGAGGACTCAAGAGACATGCCTGAGATGCCTGAAGATCCACAGTACCAAGTACTGCAGGCCGGGGGGAGTTAGAGCAGCCAACAGGGAAAGCTGCTCTTGCCTTTGCAAAAAGCTGCAACAATTTGACCCACTATTTCATTTATTCTTACCAGTCAAATAGAATGGCAACAAAACCACCTTGAGAGCAGTAGGTTATTCTTGACACAGTGTATTTCTAGTAAGAAAAGAAAAAGAAATATCCTTGTAAGTTAAGACCATTTATGGACAGAAAATTCACATTCCATTTCATGTCTTGGCTTTTAAAATTTAGCAGATGTATTAATTTACAGTAAGTAAAGCAACATAATTACCTTTAAACTACAGTCAAGTATATTTTTGTACCAGTATTTGCTGCTTTATTAAGTTTTCCATACTTCTCCCTTCACAGCCATCCAAACAGAAGTCAAATGTAAAGGTTTTAGTGAAGTACCCTTAGTGAATAAGCTAACAATTGAACGAAAAGTATGCCACCCTCAAACATCCTCTCTTGTAATGCTAATGGCAAACCATCAACATTGAGCCTGCTCAGCCAGGATATCACACTAGCAACTTAGAGATTATAAACATAAGCCATTAGCTGCTTTAAAAAAAAGGAGATAGCGATGCATAGCTAATATCCTTGCTGCACTGTCTGCTTTTTCAACATGTGTCTGGGTGAAGCCATACCACTTAACAGAAAACATGTTCTGAAGAACAAGACAAGACTGCCAGAGGCCATCCTCCTCATAAAAAAAAAATAAATAAAAAACCCCACAGAAAAATCCCCCCCACAAGAACAATAAAAAAATACTGGCAACACACTCCCAATTTAGAAGATACCTTATTTTATCTGTCTGGGAGAGAATTAGAGAAAAATCTTTGCTGCATAAACCATACTACTTGAAATATTCTGCAACTGATTTGAGGCTCCTAGAGTGGGAAGAACTTGGGAGGAGCAGGGAAAGTGCAAGAAGATGCCCTAGGGTGCTTTTACAAAAGTGTCTGTTATATAATGTGAAAGACAAAACTGCAAAGGCAAAAGGCTGATTCTCAAGTATATTTTAGAAGCAGCGATACCCAGCGCTTCTGATTAGTATAATCCTCCCACTAGAGATGTAGCTAGTTATTCCCTATAGGGCAGGGAATACATCATCTTGATGCTCTGCTGGCAGAATTCAGATGCATCCTCAAGTCCCTCTTGAGCCCTCACCTCTTTCCCTAATGCAACACTGGTCACTATACAGAACAGAACTTCTGTTTCATCAGCTTAAGTTGAGTTTGGGAGTAAACATGGGATTTTACCCTTTGAGCTGCCAGCTGACATAGAGGCATTGTCAGGCTGTTTGTTTTGGAATGTTGCAATCAATGTAGGAAAGCAAAACAAGCTGTACAGCTCCCAAAATTCAAGTCAGCAAGTTTAATACCAGAAGCTATTTTGTCAACAGTACTACTAAAAGATAAACCAACTGCAGAAAAGTTAGTTAATTGATGGCATAAATATAGCTGTGTAACTATAAATATGCACTGTGGAACTCTAATTTTCATCTATATTTATATCATACCATGAGAAAAAAAAATAAAACCCATTGTGACATACTATCTTAAGCAAGAACAGCAGCATGCACACACTTTTCACTCATGTACTTGACTGCCTGTTTGTACAGAAGAGGAGCCCTTTATGAAAAACCTTATTAAAAGGCTGATGTTTCAGAGCTCTTGGGAAACACACGGGTCTAGTCTCTTGCTACTCTGCAGAAACAGTAAGTTGTTAATCCATATTTAGCATAAGGACCCAGGACCCCTGTTTCACACGGACGTAAAAAAAATGCTTACAGTTCCAAATGCCAGGTAGGATAAGTGGGCTGAATCAGAAAGGCTTTCTGTAGATAACACATCTAACTAATAATACATCTAAATGTGGCTACTGCACTACGGAGCCATTTACACCACAGCTTTATGTGTAGAAGTGACAGCTCTTACTGTAACCACCAGTGGGTTCTTTAGGCATTTAAGGGAACAAGCCAAGATAAATATATATAAACCTAAAAACTGAGGCAATTATTTCTCATAACAAAGCTCTGCCTCTCTGTCTGTGTCATGGCAAACACACAGGGTAAATGCAGTGATGGGAAGAGCCCACCTACACAGCTGAGTGCTTTGTCAGAGAGACAAAGGGTTCTGTGAACTTGAGGTACATAGCAGCTCTCCTCCAACCTCACCAGGGGAGGGAGGAGGAAGCTTTTTTGATTTGAACCAAGTGCTATTCACAGCTGGACAGAGACAAGAAAGGGCATCTTCTTTGCAAGCTCTTTCCTTTCCATGTGTGGGTAAGTCAACTATAAGCACAGTGAATGCAAGCCCCAGAGCAGTATCTTGTTCAAGGACAAGCCTATGAAATCAGTTAACTTCAAGAAAAGCTGTAAGAGCTGTCTGTGATAAACAGATAAACAGTTCACTTGATACTCTCTGAACTTATTCAGCATTTATGTGACACTTATCAGCCTGCCAACACATTAAAATTAACTTCTGATATCAACTGTGAGAAGGGGTGACCCCATGAAAAATTAATGTACTGGACTACTGGGGTAGAGTTGTGCAATTCATGTTCTGGACTTTAAACAAACCTCTGCTGAGAGACTGCATGAGGTGAAAGCTCCGAAGTGGGAAAAATACAGCACTATGAATTTAGAGAATTACTCCCATTCTAGTGGGAAAATGAACCAAGGATCTGCAATCCATCAACTGAAACCACCGCTACACTGTAAAAAATACTCCCGTGTTCCCCAAACAGACATGTATTCATCATCTGCCAAGCAAAATAACCCACATTTATGTGTTCACATGACACACCATTACTGGTGATTCCATTATCATTGTGCTTCAAGTTGTGTTTCAAGCTTCACTGCATTCACAGCAGTTATCAGTGGTAAAAATGAAATGCAAAGCAAAAGAAAAGAAAAAAACACTTAAACCCCCACCTCACCTCTGGTTGCCAGTCATTCGCAGACAGCATGCTAATTACAACCTAAAAAGCACTGACTCAAGAGACTGTTCACTTAAATTCAGGCTAAAAATGTCACTCTAGGTTGTGAAGATGATCTTTGATACACCTGGATGTGTAGCATAACTGAATACTACCACCAGACATCATCTCTGGATCATCTTCTGGAACTATGATGCCAGCAAAACACAAGTCTTTCCCCTTTGGTCCTGTTGATCATAGGGAAAGTACATATTCACAGCTGTGTAGCCATACAACACAAATGTGGCAATGCACCACATTAAGGTTTATATCTGTCATTTATCTATCTGTAATTGCTGGGACATGATGCCTGATCACTGTTCCAAGGATGTACAAATTCTAGAGGCCAACTGAGTCTCCTGCACTGCTCAAGCATCATGCAAATTTAGTGTCAGAGACAGATTTTGGAATGCTTGTAAGAGTAGGCAATTAGCAGAATTTTGTAGATTAAAGCAACAGGCAAGCCTGAGGCTTCCAAGACCACTGTTAGGAGAGGCATATGACAGTGGATAGAAGAACTACAAAACACTGCAGGAATACAGTTTATTAACTGCTGTGTTATATTTATTAACCCACAGTTGCGGCTTTTCCCCTTCTGTCATTGCTTACTCACACCAAGGTAAAGATGCTAAACAGCGACTCCTCAAACAGTCAAAAAGCACTCCAAATTTCTATGAAAGACTCCATCATAAAGAGTATCCTATGGAACACACCTTATCAAGTGTGTTAAGAGACAAGGCAAGTATTACTAAACTACATTCAGAAGTCTTCAAGAACATTCTTAGAGAGGTGGAGATTATTTTTAAATCAATTCCTGCTCTCAGCAACAAGGTTTGTATTTTTCCCTCTAACCTCTGTTAGTTTATCCAACACTACATTTGAGGTTTATGATATAGTTTAATATTATTTTTTACAAACTTGTAAACAATGGAGTTAGGATTCAGCGTGAGATCAAACACTTAATTTACATGCAAGCTATCCTACTAAATGCTAAGCTAGTCTAAGCAGCAAGTAGCATTTTTAAAATTAATATTAGGATTCCCCATTTCACAGCTAGATCCTTACTAGTCCTTGATGATCCAATAAAGCTAGAAGTCAAAGTATTTTAACATAAAACCATTTTTCCCTCCAACAGAAATGCCTTGCAACATTACTTCAGACATGGATTTAGTGGTTATCAAACCACCTTGTTTCAATAAAGCAGTCTCATTAGCTACTTTTGAACACAAAGATAAAACACTTTGGCTTTGAAACTCCCCAAGCTGCTTATTTCCAGAAGTAATTTTGTAGATTTGCTTCAATCTTCATACTCCCCTCCCCATTCAAATCCTCCTGCACCCAGAATGTAAGAGGATACCAGCTATATGGGCTTGTCTCCTAATTTGGTACACCCCATTTTTTGCTTATGAAAAACATAAGCAGTAGCTGCTTCAAAGATTTAAAGCACCAGACTCAAGCTGATATGCTTTAAAGCACATCTGAGATAGAGACCTCTCATAAAAGAGGTGCGCTTTAAAATATACTTTCAAGTTCAGAAGCAGGTTAAATTGTCCATATAGATACTAACTTGAGTTCCTGCTAACAAGAACTCTAGGCCTCAACTAAGATTCCCATTTGAATGCTGTGACATAAGTAGCAGCTGCCTTTCTGGGCTTATATACAGACAAAAGTTGCACATTATTACTCCCACACGAAGAACAACTTGCTGATGTCTTCTGCACAGAAAAAAAAATGCTGGAATTGTCAGGTCTGTCCCTAGGGGCTTGGTCCTAGGGACAAGAATGAATGCTGTTTCACTGCTAATAGGGTTGTATGCCAGTTCATGTGACAAGAAAGAACAAAACCAAAGACTGAGTACTACCAGAACCACTGCTCACATTAGATTAGCATCCCAAATCACAGTAGCACCACAAAGGCTATATGATACCACTCATGTACAGGCTGCAAGCTAAGAAGAACTAAGAAGAGAAGATGTTCAGTTTTCACATAAGAGCTCATACTAACTTTTGACACTGCCCAGCTTCAGAACAACCCAAAGGAACAAGCCCAGTGCTTTGTCCCCACAGGGCAGTACCACTGCAGGTGACTGGTTACAAATGTTACAAAACTTCTTTTTGACCAGATAAATTGCAACTTTAACACTTGAAATTCTAAGTTGGGGGTTTGCTGGTTTTTTGTTTGGTTTTTTTTTTAATTGTGTGACTCTTTAGATCTTTCCAATGTTACAAGGTATTTTCTAGCTAAGAGACTAAAGTACCAGTGGTTTTGGAAAAATTTCCAAGTGAAGCTTTGTCCATTGTGCAGAGTATTTGGGAAGAATTACAAACAACTGCTTTTGGTCACCTCTTGGCACTTCTTAGAAATGCACGTAAGTCACAGGAACGGATTTCAGGGACCTTCTTCCTCTCCTGAAATCCCAGGTTACTGGGTTGCTAGGTCTCACATAGCTTCCAAACCCACCGCCAGAAAAGAGGAACTCCTAACAAACACATTTAGGAGTCACACGAATCAGGAGGATAGCAGGGCATACCTGGTCAGTTTTGGCTGCCTCAGTCCCACAGATGCTACTTAGATGACAGCAATACACTTCTTCACCACTTTTGTACTCCCAGAGTCTCAGAGTTGAATCCTGGACAGATGGAAGGCGACACAAGCATATTACTAACATCACCTCAGGCAAAGAGAGGCTGCTTGTGGCCTTCAGCTACTTCCTATTTCCCTGAGCAGCTTCCCACATTAAGACCTCAAATTCCAGATAAAGCATTTTAATTAACATAATTATCCCACTCTATTCTAAATTATTCAATCATGCTAACTTTAATACTCCTTTTGAAGTGGAAATTGCATAGCTGGAGGAGTGCATTTCAAGTTTGTCTCAAATAGCAAAGCAATACATGTGCTCAGCATTTTAATGGCAGTTCTTCCAGGTTGCACTTCTCTGCCCTTACTCTTGTTATCACCCAAATTCTCATTTGATTTAGTAATCTGCTGGAAAGAAGCTAAACACCTCTCTGGAAAAACAGTCCTCAAAGAGCATTTGCTAAGAATAAATACAGCCATACACAGCACTAATGCAGAGTTCTTTAAAGAATTATCACAGAATCAGAAGAACAAGAGACAAGAGCCATAGGGTAGCAAGAGCAGCAGCTGAAGCAAAACGCTAAGAATTATTGCAGTCTTCACATCTTCACAGAAACATTGTTTCCTATGCAGTTTTGGTAGTCTGAGAAAACAAAGCACATTGTTTCCCTTCTTTTAGACCAACTCCATCTACTCCCTCTGTACAGGTGTGGCATGACAGCAGAATGCCATCTATTTAAGAAAAGAGAGAGGGAGGAAGGGCAGGAAATACTTCTTCAGTCCTCATCCAAGCATTATGTAGCACTGCACTGCAATCTCTACACAACATGGATGCACTATGAGGACATACCAGCAAGAACATAATTCAAAGGAAGTCCCACAAAGGAAAACAAGTGGGAGGGTTTAAAGGGAACAACTTTATCATCTTAAAAGCTCTAAAAAAAATCCTAAGGCCATTCATTCTCAAGACACTCATCATGGCAGTAATACCTATTCACTTCAAAGTTCTTTAATAGCCCAATGATTAAAGTTTGCATTTCAAAGCAAGAATTAATGATGAAGAAACACTGAGGACTTTGTGATTTCTCCATTCCAAAGATCTTATGAACCTAGCCTTGCTATAAGCACAGTAAATGGCTCTTATATTATCTACCAATAGAATGGTTAACACTGAACAGAAAGCTGAGAAAGGGGGAGGAGAGAGTTCATGCTGTAAATCACGAAGATTATTCCAAGTATCCCAAAGAACTATGGGAAACACAAGCAAACAATGGTTTTAAAGTCTAAACTTTCAAAAAAAATACTTTTTTGAAGAAATTGCCATACATACCCCAGAAGCTGACAACAGCAGATCAGGATAGTTGGGTATTACAAATATTTTGCTTACAAACCTAAAGGGAAAGCAGTCAAAAGCTAAAATCTCTTGCATGACACTCTGGTCTTTAAACACACACAGTAAATGAAAACATCAATTTCAAAGAGAACCTTATAATAAACAGATTCTCCACATCAAGCTAATGAGGAGGAAGAAAAAATGTGTCTACAGTACTTAATACAATGTATATATACTACACATTCTACTGACTTTCTACTTAACAGAAAAAAGTATTTCCCCACCTGCCCTCAAGGAATTATGACTTCCTCCTGCCTGAGAACACTGCCACTGGAGACAGATTTACTCAGGTAGCATGTTCCCCTTTCTCTTTTCTATGCGAATACTTGTAAAAACGGAGTCTCTATCTTCTTTGTAGCCACCCTTTAAGTACTGGAACATGGTGGTAAGGTCTTCCCTGAGCCGTCTTATCACAAGGCTGAACAAACCCAGTTCTCTCAGCCTTTCCTCATATGCAGGCTTCCCAGCCCTTTAATCATCTTTGTAACCCTTCTCTGGACCTTCTCCAACCTGTCCAAAGCAGGGTCCAAGTGGGGACCAAAACTGGACACAGTATTCCAGATGCAGCCTGACAAATGCTGAGTGGGATAATGACATCTTTATCTCTGCTGGTGATGTAATCCAGCATCATGTTGGCTTTTAAAACACAACGGATGCTTTTAAAACACAACAATGATGACCCGTATAAAACTGACCTGATCAAAGACTATTTAGGTCTTTAACATTAGTCTCTTGCTTTTATACTATGCCAGTTCTGCAGGTTAGACTACAAAATCTTATTAAAATCAGACTGACACTCCAAATTAATCTGTATCCTAAATGCTTTATTAAAACACTTTGGTGGGCAAGTTTAGATATGTTGCTACCCATATCTCAAGTTTCCCAGTCACACTGGCTTTCTTTCACTCCTGTTTCCAATACAGTGAGTGGACTGCACCATGTTGCATCATCTTGTGGAAAAGTGTGCCTAGAACAGTGTTTTTATCCCCAAGTAACTCAGCAGCCCCACAAGGAGAATTAGGTATATTCTCCACTCTGTGCAGGGTCATGCCTAATGGAAGGATCTTCACTTGAAAATGGAGAAGAAAGAAAAGATCATCCTTCCCACTTTATCCAGAGTGAACCATGCATTTTATTAGACTTGACAACACAACAGCACATCATATTTCTACAGGGATATCCCTATGATCTACCTTCCACAAATCCTTCTACTTGCCTTTGAGTTCTTGCCCATAGCAATAGAACCAATCTCACGAAAAACACCACATTAAAAAGCACGATTCCTTGAATCTACTTCATGGGACCATTCTGCAGCCCCCAGCTCCCAGCAGTCTCATATCCAGGCAGAAAGAGTGCTCTATCTTTCCTATTGATACAGATGTGGTTTTATTGTATCACCACAGAACCTCCAAGTCTGACCTCAGCATTGAGATGCTATTAGTGTATGTCCAAACCACAAATACTTCCTAAGATTTCTCTTCCTAAGACTGAAGGTAGCCTTCATCCTGAACTAACAATCTCCAGGCTCTGGAGTCTTTTATGGCCAGCAGGTCAAGGGAGGTAATCTGCACAGCTGCTCTGCTGAGTAGAGATTACTGGATACATTAATCCCCAGTACAGTAGATTACTGGATACAGTAATCCCCCCCCTGGATTACTGTATCCAGCTCTAGAGTCCTTAATACAAGACATGGACCTGTTTGAGCAGATTCAGACTAGATACAAGGAAGACATTTTTTATAATGAAGGTGGTGAAACACTGGAAGGTTGCCCAGAAAGGTGGCACATGCCCCATTCCTGGAAACATTCAAGGCCAGGCTGGATGTGGTTCTGAGCAACCTGATCTAGCTGAAGATGTCCCTGCTCATTGCAGGAGGGTTGGTTGATGACCGTTAAAGGTCCCTTCCAACCCAAACCATTCCATGATTCTAACTCAGATCTAGCTGTTGTTTAATATGATCTGAGGAGACAATAACTTCATCCATTGATGCACAGTGAAGAGCTGCATGCAGTAACCTATGCACACAACAAACTTACTCTTTGTGCCCCAGACAGAATGATACAATATAATAAGGAGCCTTTGCCAAGCTGATTCTGATCTTCTCATCTCTGTCTGCAGTTAAGATGTATCGGTCATCAGGACTCAGCGCCTGTTGGTGAAGGGAAGGAGAGATTTGGTGCCCAGTAGTTCAATGCTTGTTTTAATATAATTCTTCCTAACCAGGAGAAAAAAAAAGATAAGCAGTAAACTGTTTCTTCTGACTCTGAATGGCAGGTGCAAACATTAAGCCATGCTTTTGTACCGACAATAGAAGTACAAATATTATGATAGTGACTTTCTTATTTACTAAGACAAGTGACACTGACTACCATGTCCAGGGAAAGACACTAACCTGCAACAGTACAGGTGGAAGTCCCACTGCATCTTAAAAAGAAACAAACTTACCACATTGGAGAGCTCAACCAACACGACAGACAGCATGAATTCCCATATATCCCTATATTCCTATCACCAAGTCTTCTGTGACTGCACCATGAAGACTTTTTGAACACTCACACTCCAAGAATACAAAACCCTTTGGTAAGCCTGTTTCTTTACCAAACTCTGCAAACACAAACTTGGAATGAAGAAATCCAAACCATATACTTCACTTATATAAAAAGGAGCTCCCAAATCTGGGACAAGAGCAACAATGAAAGATCCAAACACAAGCAAGAATGAAGAATTGTACGCTAAGTACACAGACACATATACTTACAACATCCAGTAGCAGAGACAAGTGACCCAGCTCAAGTTTTCCATCTGCTTGGGGTTCTGTTATTGAGTAAGAATAGACATCACCAGACTTGTCCGCAACCAGAATCTTATCCTCTGCAGCTGTAATAACCAGGGAAGTGCATCTCCTGGTCACACACCTGAAAGAAAAACAGCAGAGTTTGAACAGCTCTGGATGGCACCTACAGCAAGTCTGGATTCAGACCCAGTTAAACAGACCATGAGATAAAAAGCTCTCAAATGCAACTTTCTTGAAATGGCAGCAATGAGAATAATGTTAAGGGAAGGTATGGGCCAAAACAGCCCTTTTGAGACCTATTATATGACTAAACTATGTACTAGCAAACAGCAGAGGGGTGGGAGAAAAAAGAGAGAGACCATTAAAACTGCATGCCTGCACTTTGCTTAGGTACTTTCTCAACTGAGCATTTTGTCTAGGCAGCCTGCCAGTACTCTACAGAAAGCTGGTAGACTTTCTTGCACTCTCCACAATAAAAATAAAAGTTAAACACATAGAAAATAGAAGACAACGTAGCAGTTCTCCTAGTAAGGCCTCTGCAGCAAGACATCTAGAAACTGTGCTGAAACTATTTCTCTAGTTGACAATTTTTACCATAAAAGGCAGCTCTCCTTTATGAGCCTCACAGGCTCTTCCTCCTTGCATCCAGTCAGTGAGCCACAGTCTCAGGATACCTTGTCCAGGCAAAGCCCTGAACTTGAACACTGACTTTCCCTCATCACCTGCCGGTATCTTACAGTTCCAGTTGCCAGTGCAGCAGGTAACAGTTTTCTTACAACTTTTCAGATAAATGTAAGAACCATGTATGTCAGAAAACAAGTTTTAAAAAAGGTTTAATCACTTAGTCTGAAGAATGCTTCTGCAACTTAACAGCTACTGTTAGTACTGTTATTTTTTGCTTTCCGTAACACCTCTTTTCCAAACCCCTCTATGTCTTATGTGCTAACACAGGACTGCAAACACCAGGAATCACAGAGAATGAACATTTCTATTCACCTACTGTGAACTTTGGTGACCACCTGGAGGCAACAGAATAATACACTGTACTTCAGGTAGGAAGACAGAATTGTAATAGTTTTTAGTGACTGTTTATAAAGGACCAAAGAGAAAACTTATAGGACAAGAATACCTACTGACACATTCCAGGCTCAGGCAGCACAGTTTTAAAATAGATTACCTTGCCAGCAAGAAAAAGTCTTGCACCAAGTTCCTTGTACTGCCTTTAATATTAAGCACAAAGATTCCAAAGTTCCTCGTCTGAAACAAGCTGACTACAAAAGCACCACATGAAAACCTTTATACAGCTTGCCACAAAACACCAATGCAAGGTGCATAGCCCAACTTTGGAGTTCTTTTTTTCATGCAGAGACTTTTTTTTGCCTGTATTCCCAGTTTCCTAACAGGAGGTAATGACATTCAAAAAAAAAAAAATGCAGCTGTCGTCCTGATTGATCTTTCACCAGAAAACTGAAATATCAAACAATTATCCAATGATGTATTACGAGCAAGACATACAAGGCAGAGCAGCAGTGAAAAACAGAAAGCAGAATGAACAGAAGTTTGCCCTCTCTGGTTTTGTCAGTGATTATTTACTCACTACAACATTGGTTAACCCACGAAAGGTCCATCATATACCTCACACACAGCCAAGCTGACAGAGGCTCCACTTTCTTTTGCAACCAGGGCCTCACATTTGTTAGAGATCACCAGAAACAGAGACATCACATGCTGAGGCACTTTCTCACGAAGTCCTTCATTGCCCTCTTACTTTACAGACAATTGTCACAAGCAGCAGCAGAAAACTTGAAACTGGAGGACCTCTAGTGGACAGCTACAGACTGTCTTCAAAGAAGACTGAAGGACAACTGCCAGCATCTCTAAAGATGTGCTTTTAAGAGATTTCTCAAACTCCCCAAAACATCTCTTCCTCCAAATCAACAGAAATGGTCAGTGCACTCATTAAACTCGTCAGCATCACTCTTACAGGCCCACCCCGATGTTCACGAGGCTTATGTAAAGTTTCATGTCTTAAAATGCAAACACTGTCTTCTGGAACAAGAGACAAGACTACCCTTTCTTTGGCCAACAACATAAACATACGCAATTCCATTTTGGTGTGGGGCATAGCATGCATCACTTTCTGACAGATATCTTTGAATTCCCAAGAACATTAGATTTGTTTGAGCAAGTACAAGTTAAAAAAAAGGAAGCTTACTGACAACAAAAGGCAACATCGCAAGTACTACTATTTTATAACTCTAAATTAAGCAGCCATAACTCTGTAACAAAGTGACATGCAACATCCTGCTTCCTTACCTGATGCTAACACACTCCCAAGAAGGCTTCGTACAGAACAGAATCAGACGTTTGTTGTCATCTGTTAAGGCAAAATAATCTCCTGATGGAGAGAAGGCAAAAGCTAGGATGTCATCACTTCCTTTATCTGTCTGTTTTCCATCCTGCCTAATAGAGAGAAGAGGAACCACAGTTCACAACCTGAGAGTTACTGAAATCCTTAAGAGAAGGTTGCTGTCACACCACCAAGAAGAAGCATAAAGAACAAAGTACAGCTATAAAAGTTTTATTTGTGGTTAAAATGTTGGACCAACTTGAACAGTAATGCAAAGAAAAAAACCAAGAGAAAGGAAACTGATAAAAAGACTAAGTCTGTATTGTTACCTGCTAAAAACCAAGTAAACAAACAACACTCCCTAAAAATACAAACAATGAAACAAAACCAACACTAGGGTTTGTGCTAGCAGATCTTTACATAAATTTCAGAGAAAATAGTGAAATTGGATACAGGTAAAACAATGTCCAGTGGTTGAACTTAAACCAAGAAAAACACTTTTTCCAGGGTTTGAAATCTCCTGACTTACAGAACAGATTTGAAGGATGAGTTACGTAACAGGTTTGTGTTTTTTTTTTTTTTTTTTTTTTTTTTAACTTAGATGGTCTAATAAAAAATGCAGCATTTTTCCATAGCTATCTTGATTGAGAAGAGCCATACAGAATCATTGATTAAACTACTAGTGTTTCTCTAAACAAGAAAAAGGTGTAGCCACTCCTCTGGGATGGAAAAGGAACAAAAAAATAATATATATATTCACCAGGGTTAGTAAAAACATCATCAGCTGATAGAGGAGTCATTCCATTAATTTCTTTTCTCATCTTATAATTTCATCACATTATTTTTACCATTATTTTTATCATCTTATCGTTTTTATCGTCTCTCTTATGTTATTATTTCATCATGATCACATAATCTCAGGAGAGGGTGCACCCTCTAAGAAAACAGCAGATTACCTAAACAGATTTTCTCACCCTTCATTTCCTAAGGTGGGCTTCTTTGCATTGACACAATCAAACACGAAGAGACCATCATCACTGCAAACAAAAAAGCAAGACTAAAAACACTGGAACTACAACAACCATGAGCTTAACTATGAATAGCGCCAACTCTTTTGTAACACACTATTATTATTTTCCTATTTTGCAACATGCAGAAGTACCACCTCTGCCGAATGGGCTCCCAAAGAGCTACAGAAACAGAAGTTTAAAAGCTTGGATCGCACACATATACCAAAAAGAAATTCTGAACTGTTGGCAAAGTAACCATGTATTCTGCATATTGGAGAGTTTAGACTGGATTATTAGGAAAAATTGTTCACAGAGAGTATGCTCAGGCATTGGAACAGGCTTTCCAGGAAAGTGGTGGCATCACCGTCCCTGGAAGTGTTTAACAACTACAGACGAAGCCCTTAGGGACACGGTTTAGTGGTGGTCTTGGCAGCCCTGGGGTAATGGTTGGACTTTATGACCTTAAAAGGTGCCTTCCAACCTAGTTACTTTCGTCAAACTCGACGCATTTGCCACTAGCATCTGCCCATCTGCGGGTGCACAATCGTGCCAGAAAACCGTCAAGACTATAAAGCTCAGAACTGGCGCTTCAGTAACAGCAAAGTCTGCCGAGGAGCGCCCCAAGGCCTGCGCCTGGCCGTGCAGGACTCTTCCGAGCGGTGCAGCGGGCCGGCCTCTACTGCTGAGATCTGCATCCCCCCAAGCATCGGCACTGACCCGGGCTCCCTGTACGGCGCCGCCAGGAGCTTCCCGCCACCGCTGGCGGCCATCAGCGCCCCACGGAGCGCCAGCGCCGGGCCGGGACTACGCCGCCGACCCCCGCCGCCACCGCAGCCGCCATCAGCCTCCATCCGTCAACACCGCCACGTGCGGGGCGCAGAATACCGCCGTCACTGCACGGGGCGATGACGTTTTAGGCTGTGCCGCGCCTGCGCGATAGGGGAAGACCGTGTGAGGGAGCGTCTGTCACGATTCCGGTAGCTGCTTCCGGGACTAGCGCCAAGATGGCGGCTCCTTCACTGCTGGGCTGCGGGCGGGCGGTAAGCCGCAAGGTAACGGGTAGGGAGGGAGCTGGATGGGGTACAGGCAGAGGGGGACAGAGGGGCTGGGGTTGCTCAGTAGCGCAAGCCCCGCGGCGCACCCTCCTCTCCCACGGGCCCGGCGGGGGGGCGGCGGGGAGGTGCACAAGCGTGGGGCAGAACCACAGCGCCACCTGCGAGCCCTTTGGCTGAGGTGACTGATGGCACTTCCATGCATAGCGCAGTGGGGATTGCGGGTGGGCACGGCTCCCTCCGGGGTTCCCTGTACCCTGGAAACCGCCTTTATCCCGTTTTCTTCATCTCCAGGTGTTGCGGCTGGAGGTCCGGGGCCTGCGAGGCCAGGTCCCCTCCGCGGAGCTCTGCACCAAGCCGGCGGGCTCCGGGAAGCCGCCAAAGAGTAAGATGTTTGCTTCGTCCTTCAGCGGTGGTGGGGGGTACATAAAAGGCAACGGGTGTACGGCTGGTCGTAGGAGAGTTTCTAGTTAACAGCCTGAAGTTCAAGGCTCCCCTGGGTGTCATTAAATAGGCAAGAAGAACTGTCTTGGAACTGCTGGTACATAAGCCAAGGGAGTAAAAGGTCATCACTGTGTAAACAAGGATTTCTTTTCAAACTTACTGCATAGTAAGAAAACTGAAAGTAAAGGTCTAGTGGAAATCGGGTCTGTGTGGGATAAGAATGCATCTGGTCATTGTTTAGAGGCAGCAACTCGGCACCATGCAGCCATTTGCTCACCCCCCTTCCACCTTCCCCAGACAGGATGGGGAGAATTGAAAGAATGTAAACCCCATGGGTTGAGATAAGAACAGTCCAATAACTAAAGCATAATATGAAACTGCTACTACTAATAATGATAAAGGAAATAACAAGGGCAGAGAATATAAAACTTAAAGGAGAAAAGAATAAACAATAAACACAAGTGATGCCCAATACAATTGCTCACCACCTACCGGCCGATACCCAGCCCTACCTGAGCAGCGATCTGGGCCTTCCAGGTAACTCCCCCCAGTTTCTATACTGGGCGTGACATGCTGTCGTATGGGATACCCCTTTGCCTAGTTTGGTTCAAGTATCCCATCTTTGCTCCCTCTGGGCTTCTCATGCCCTGCCTCACTGGCAGAGCATGAGACTAAAAAGTCCTTGACCAGGGTAAGCGCTGCTGAGCAACGACTAAAACATCGGTGTGTTATCAGCATTGTTCTCAGACTAAAGCCAAAACACAGCACTGCACCAGCTACTAGGAAGAAAATTAATTCTCTCTTAGCTGAAACCAGGACAGCTATATTTATATTCATAAGCCATGCTGTCAGCTTCATATTTATTTCCTGTTTACTTTCACCTTAATTCTTTAGCTGCTGTGATACTTGACCAGACTTAAGGAGAGTTATCATTACATTTGTCTTAATATAAAGCAGCTTTGCAAGTTGCCTGAAATTTGATGGAAATGTGTAGCAAGTTACTTTTAATGATGTGCAAAATCTGAAGTTTGAACTTCAGATGTTCACCCTTTTCTTCTGAAATGTTAGGATAATCAGGATCAAAAAGCATCCTGTTTTGCAGAAAAACACTTTGAAGATCCAAATACCTGCTCTAGGCAACAGAGTCAAGAAGCTGCAGAGAACTGTCACAGCCCTGTTGTGTTAAATTTAGTTACAATGCTTCTTGCCCCATAGGTTTGCAAGTGAGGCAGTACGTGGACCTGGTTTTGCATGCTGTAGTGCATTTGACATTCCCAAGTATTTGAACCCCTTCTGTCCCTGACCGAAGGCAAAACATGAATACAAATTTCGAAGAGGGATAATTTGTGCAAAATGTTGTTTGTAAATAGAGGCTCACTGTGAGTAGGAGTGAGTAAGATTCCATCCCAAATTAGAGATCCAGGTGCTTAAAAAGCAAAGCTCCATGGGACAGTAGGAGTAATCAGACTCATTGATAGCTGTTGAAAAGATCACTGGTGGAGTAGTTGAATGCACATTTCTGGCTTCTAATATTAGCTTCTCAAATGTCAAGGCAAATAAAACCTTGGTTGTTTCATTAAGAAAGCCTACATTGATATAAGCTTGATTGAACAACAAATTGCTTTTTATTATATATTTTTTGCATTACGTTAAGTGTATTTGAGATGTACTTTAGCATCAGTTTCTAGATTCTCTGTCCTGCAGCTCTGATTTCAGAATGTGTCAGGAGGCCTCTTAGGCCACCTCTTTCAGCGAGCTGTTTCCCCTGCAAATGGCTAAGGTTAGTTAAGCTGTATAGGATGCAGCTGTCTTTTTCAAATTCTGGCTGGAACAGGGTGTGCAAATTTTCTTTGTTTTGATAAAATGGTCATGGTTACACCCAAACTCAGGATCATATCTGTAATTTCTGCATGCCATCTTTCTTAGTGTGAACATGTTCTGATAATTATGCTGTTACAAGCATCAGTAAGAACGCATGTGGGCATAATATTCTTGTTACTAATTTGGGTGTATTGTTCTTTTGTCAAAGTGATGCAAAGACAGGTCAGGTGGTACAAAGTTTGAAGTACCCCAATTAAAATGTCTGTACCAGTTGTGTTAGACTTCATGATTAAAAGCTGAAACATATCTTTTTCACGTATCCAAATATTACTGTTTATTTTTCCAGTAACAATTACTGTTAATGGTCAAGCTGACTGTTACCTGTCTTCTTTGTTTCTTAGGATACTGAACATTAATACTTCGGCAGCTTTTGCTCAGCTTTCACTTCTCTGTCATCCCTTCAGGCATTCTCATTTTAGTTTGACCTTCCTGTACACTTCTTTGAAGAACTCTTAAATCCTGAGTGATGTTTACTCACACAGTAGTTTCTACAGGCTGCTGTTTGGTTGTGTCAGTCTGTGTAGGGAATCGGGCTTCTTTCAAAGGTGACTGTGCCATCTTCCTACTTCCCCCTGACTTCCATCCTCACCCTGCACCTCCCATCTGGCAGAGAGAAGTGTCTGAAATTGTTCAAAAGTATTACCTTTATAGTAAGCTGGCATCTTTTTAATTTGTGCTTATGTTAAGAACTCTGTGTTTCTTTATCAAATACTTTGCTTTTAGTTTCATTTGTCTCTTCTGTCATGTTTTCATTTGGGCATTGCTAAAGACTTGCTTTTATTCCAAACTGTCATGGTTTAAGCCCAGCTGATAACTCAGAACCACGTAGCCACTCTCTCACCCACCCCCTTCTTGCCCCCCCCACTCCCGGAAGGATGGGGAAGGGAATTGAAAGAATGTAACTCCCACAGGTTGAGATAAGAACAGTTTAGTAACTAAGGTATAACACAAAACCACTCCTGCTACCACCAGTAATAATAATGATAAGGGAAATAACAAGGGGAGACAATACAGCTGCTCAACACCTGCTGACTGATACCTAGCCCAACCTGAGCACTGATCTGGGCCTTGTGGGTAAATCCCCCCAGTTTATATACTGGGCATGATGTGCTGTGGTATGGAATACCTCTTTGTCTAGTTTGGATCAGGTGTTCTGTTTCTGCTTCCTCTCAGCTTCCCCTCCTCCTTGGCAAAGCATGAGACTGAGAAAGTCCTTGGTCAAAGTAAACATTACTTAGCAACAACTAAATACATCAGTATTATCAGCCTTGTTCCCAGGCTGAGAGTCTAAAACACAGCACTGCACCAGCTACTGAGAAAGAGAAAAATGACTGCTATAGCTGAACCTAGGACACAAACTAATTGTATTACCTTCTTGGATCATATAAGGTATTACTGTGAAATACTTGTGAGGAGGAAAGCTGCATTTAGTTACGGTCCTGTAAAGTAGATCTGGGTTTAAATCTGCACAATAATCTGGAAATCTGTTGAATTACACTGCTGGCTGCAAGTGGTGCAATTCACAACAGTTTTATGGCTTTGCTATAGCAAATTTCAGCAGTAGTGTATCTTCTCAATGTGCTTCCAGTCCTTTGTCCTCCCGTTTTTTATAACCACAACAGTATTTACTGTTGATCAGCCTCCTGAGGATATCATTGGCATAAGCATCCAAGGGATACTTGGTACTCTGAAAGGGCCTGAAGTTGCTGATTTCTCTTCAACTGTTGGTTCCTTATCTGGAGAACTCAGTTAAATGAAAGTATCCATGAGGGAGAAGAAATGAAGGCAGGCTAACATGAAGCGTTAGGAGGTCTTCCAAGACCTTTTTTACAAAGAGGTCTCAAAAAATAGCAGTGGCGATAGTGAAGACAGGAGGAAGATATAAGGTCTTTTAGAAATGATTCAGTTGGTAGATCACATAGACACATGAAGAAATAATACTTTAATATATGGCCTCACATCTCTCTTACTCTGTTTCTTGGGAGTCATTCCTCCCTACTGCTTTAAAGCTAACTATTGCGAGAGGCTGGCTATTGCTCTGTTTACTAAGTCTTGCTTCGCTGGCTTGTTCATAGACAAATATTGTCTCTGTAGCAGCCTCAGCTAAAGCTGAATAGCTCAGCTAACAAGCTGTCTTAACCTTCATCTGAGATAGGTAGGTGTCTTAAACCATTTTCAATGATGCAGAATAAAACACAGAAGAACAGCTCTTGCAAGGAGTCTGGCAAAGCAAGGAGAAAAGCACAGCAGCAAAAACTTAAGTGCTGACTAGAACTGTGGGGTTTTTAAACTTCAAGTGTCTTAAAACTTTCAGCTTTATAATGCCTGTATTTAGTATAATAACTTCTTTGAGTTTGCTTTCTGTACCAGATTATCTCAGAAAGTTAAAATTGTATGACTAAGATCACTAACATCGGTGTCGGATATAATGATGATAATCCTCTTTATGCCATTTCCTAGATCTAGTGGCACCACAGGGAAGCACCAAGCTGCTA